CCTGTTTTCTGCCTTGGCACAATATTTTCTATTCAGTTTGTGCAAGTTTCACTCCAACTGTGGAAATAGCCATTTCTGCAAGGCAGGTTGACCCCTTTTAATGGGACATGGTACTTAGGTACTACAGTACCATAGTCTGAGCTGTTTCTTGGCATGTAAGGGACAAAGATAGAAAGTATACTTATTTTAACGATAAACTTACCTTAACCTCTGAGTTTTAATGGGTATTTCCAAATCATTCAGAAAACTAGTGTTTTTACTTAATCTCTTTACTCTTTTATCTGTCTTTTCTTCTCTCATCTATTCTGTTCTCTCCCATGCCTAATGCCAATTTTCAATGATATTGTGATATTATTCACTGTATTTTATAGTATCAATCCTATAAGCCATAATAGGATTTTTAAAAGCAAGTTAAGATGTTTTGTGGTTCATAAAATACTTAGGGGAGATATATCCCACAGGGAATGTATCTTCAAATTATTTCATTTAAAACCACTTTTCATAGCTTTTTTTGGGTATGGTTATGTCAACAACTAGCTGGGTATATACTTAGGTATATATATATATATGTATATAATTGAGTATATATTTGGGTATACATTTGCTTCATTTCACTGTCAAGCTTAAAGATTTGCCTTTTAAAATTTTAATTGTTTTATAATTCTGTATATTTTCATGGTTCCAAATTGAAATAGACCAAAGAAGTTATTTTTAAAGAAGACTGTTGACCTTGCCCCTTCTACCCTGCTTCCTCCTTTTAGAGATAACTAAAAGCAGAGTACTGGGTGTGGTGATGTGTACCTGGAATCCCAGCTATTGAAGCTGGGGATGTAGGGAACAGGAAAAGGGAGCGTTACTAGAACCTCTGCAGTGAGGCCTAGTCTCCTGTGAGCCACAGCAGCACAAGGCAAATTGACTTACTATACAGGAAAGGTAGAAAAATGAGACTTAGAGAAGAAGCTGAGCTTTGGGTCTGATCAGTGCTGCTTTGGGTGGCAAAGAGGAAAGCCCCTCCCCCCTGCCCCTATATTGGGAGAAAAACAAATTTAACAAATGACTCTGGAAAGGGAGTTCAGTACATGGGGAGAAACAAATGTGACATGACTGGAGAGTGGCGGAATTCCTATATCAATGAGGAACTATGCAGATGAAGATTTTGTTCCTCCCAGGATGTCTTCAGATGGTGTAATCTTATCCTGGAGCATCACAGCATCACCAGATCATTGAGGTCTCAGTTGTGACCGGGGGCCAAAATGAAATTATGTCTGGAAATGCCATAGCTGGCCTGTAGGCAGGAGAACTAGGCCTCATCAAATGGTTTTTTCCCCCTAAATTATGTAGCATTGCTCCCAACATGGGGGACTGCAAGGTCTAGGCCACCCCGGACAGTTTAGTGAGATCCTGTCTCAAAATAAAATAGAAAGAGTTAGGAAAGTAGCTCAGTGCTAGAGCCCTTCGATAGCATGCATGAGGCCCTGGCTTCAATCTCTGGTGCTACCAAAAATAATTATGATTCATTCTTTCATTTCCTATATGCAGGCTTTTCTGCACATTGAATTTTCTCTCCTCTGTAGAATGATGGATCTGTTTTGTGGTTGAAGGCTCGAGATTCTGGGTTCCGTTTTGTTATCGATGCCTGATATTTGGCAGCAGCCCTGATTAAAACCCACTGTGGTCACCTAAGGTCCACACAGCAGGTCCCTGACCACTGTAGTCCCGGACGCAGGGTTGGGGCAGGACAGGGCGTCCATGCTTCTTTGGGGCTAGTTTCTGCACACAGAATCTTTGCCTGGGGCAGCCGGTCCCCAAGCCATCAGTGGAATCTAAATCTGCGTTCCCAGTGAGCTCTTAAACCTCCTGGTGATTCTCAGGTGCAGTCTGTCCTGAAGACCCTGATGTGGAGAGGACTTACAGTGTCTCTGGGATTGTTCGGGTTCCCCAGATTCCTTGTAATCCCCCTCCTGTCTGGATCTTTCTCCGCTCTACCTTTGTCCCCTGTTCCTTCATTTCTAAAGTTAACTGCATATTCATTTTCCCCTACAAGCCCATTCACTTCCGTTTGTATGTTGTGCTCAAGCATGGCTTTCTTTGTTAACTTGTCTCTATTTCCTTTGTCTTCTTCGCTCTCACAGATCAGGCCTGGTGGATGGGCAGGGAAGGTCTCAAGGGGGATCATTCGGGAGCCCTGTCCACCAAGCCCCTTAGTAAGTTACTAAGGAGGGGCCGGGCCCCAAATGCAGGTTTTTAAAATTTTTTCCAGTACAGGGGATTGAACTGAGGGCTTTTGCACTGAGGTATATCTCCAGCCTTTTTTTATTTTTTATTTTTGAGACCAGGTCTTCCTGAGTTGCTAAATTGCCCAGGCTTGGCTTGAACTTTTTCTTTTTTGGTGCTGGGGATCGAACTTGGGTCCTTGCACACGTGAGGCGGGCGACAGAACCGCTGAGCTAAATCCCTGCTCCTGGGCTTGAACTTTTAATCCTCTTGCCCCAGCTACCCAGGATACTAGGATCCAGGTGTGCGGCAGACTCCCAGGTTTTAAGGAGGCTGAGTACCAGATACTCTCCTGAGAAGTATCTGCCTTCAGGTACAGTGCTTGGACATTCTGGCAGAACATGGAGGAGCTGTGGGCCATGTGGCTTCACAGTTGAGAATTCTTGTGGAGGAATAAACTATGTTCTTAGTTGATTTATAGAAAGTCAACTATATTCTTAATTGTAAAGATTCTTCTCTAGGCTACAGATTGGTATCTTAGATGGAGGATTGGTGTGACTTTTGATTTTTTTCTAAAATTAATTTTATTGGTACTTTTAGGTATACAATATAGAAACATTCATCATTGGAAATTTGCACCTTTACATAATCTCTCTTGGTTCTTATTTTTTTCCCCCAATACTTTTGATCTTTTCCAGGATAATACAGAAAGTTTGAGTTTGGTCAGTTGCAAAGTTGGTAACGAGTATTGTCCCAGTTGTTTTATTTATTAGTTTAGGGTTAGGATCGACATGGACAGACCTGTGCAAGGGAGGGTAAGCATGGGCCGCAGACTCGCTACTCATTAACAAGCCTGCTTTCTGGACTGCGTTGTTAAATGCTGCCTCTCAGCAGGAAAATGTAGACAGGTGATAGTGATTTGCCTTCCTTTTGTACCTGTTTTCTCTGTTATTTGTTACGTCTGTCATTATTTTCATACTTTCTCTGTTTGATTAATACCCGTGTGAGGAGAACTGTGTAGCAGGCAGTGGTGATTCCCACAGTCCAGGGGATGTTTTGGCAAGTTCGGGACAGCAGAGCTGCTGGTGGGTCCCAGCCCCATCCCCAGGTTACTCGTGGCTGGCCATGTGGAAGCTTGGCCTCCTTGCCTCTCTGCGGACCCTAGGATTTCATTTGAGCACATTCTGGAACTGTCCCCATGGTCCTGTGTCAAGGCCTCTTCCTAAACTCCTGGCATCTCTTGAGATGAACGATGGGGCGTGCTGGAAATGGACAACAGCCTCTGCATTCTGTATCTGATCATCTCACTCGTTAATGTCCTGCCGAACAGTGTTGACTTACCTCTGTACAGTAGATGAAAACTTCTGTGACCTCCCGGAAGCCCATGAGGTTAGTAAGTCTCTGGATGGATGTGTGTGATACACCAGATCAGCAGTGTTCATCAATGTTAGGCCCATTTCAGAGACTGGAACATCTTCTGTGAATACCCTGCCTGAGCACTAGTTGCTTGGGAAGAAACTGCGTGTTAGCTTTGCTTCCTTTTGTTTTTTCCCTCCCTGCTCCTTCTCCTTCTCCCCTCTCCCTCTCTTCCTCTTGTATGTGGCTTCCTTACTTCATACAGACAGAAAACAGCTGTCAGTAGCAAACCTGTCGGTTGTTCGCCATGTCTGCGTTAATAAGGACAGGTTGCTTCAAAGCAAAAGCTTGTTTCCAGCTCAAGTTCTTGAAAGATTTATGGACTTTTGGCATTTTGTCTCCCTCGAAGTCAGGAGGAAGTGATGTGAGGGCCTGTGTGTTCACTTTCGGTGGCTGGTTTCAAAGTGAGTGTTTGATTTTCTTGGATGCGGAGGTCCCTGATCAGGGTTTGGAGCGAGGTAGCAGGTATTGAGGCCGAGTGGCTCTCTGGCAGGGAGAGGCCTGGGAGCAAGTCAGGGAAGTCTTTTGCTGCTTGCATACTGGACCCAAGCGCTGTTTTGCTGTTTTCCCTATATCTTGTTTGGTAGGAAAGGCCAGTGCCTCCCAGCTTTGCCCTAGACAATAGATGATCATTGACATTTCTTTAGAACCAGCACCTGTGACATTAGGCTGATAGCAAACCACTCATGACAGTGTCTTTTAGCTCAATGTGTACTGTGTTTAACTTTCCAACTCCAGAGTTTGTAAGTAAAGGTGGCAGTTCCTGCGGACACATCCTAGCTTCTAGAGGGCAGAGACTTATGAGGCTGCACACCTGGGGCCCAGCGCTGGGGGACTTTGTAAACCTGGACCTTCTTCTCCTGGCTGTACCACAGGTGGAGTTTGGGCTGGGAAAGACTGGAAGGTTCTATTTTCTGATCTGTGTGGGTCTGGTATCTCAGTTGATAGACTCAGCAAGTGGGAAGAGATGGCCGAGCCCCCTTTGCCTCCCTGTGGACCGGGACGGTGAGAATTCCGAGGAAGCAGGCAGGTCATCAGCTGGGCTGTCCAGATTAAGCAAATATTACCGTTCTCCTCTTTGGTGTTTTCTCCTTACTCATCTTAGGCCGAGACTTATTTGGTAGATTGCCAAATGTGTTTTAAAGGCCTGGTTGTAATATTTATTGAGCATCCACAGTGTACCAAGCACAGCGTACTAAAACTTTATTGTCCTCTACCATCTGTTTTAAAGGGGAAAACAGTTCTGTGTTTCTTTTAGGTTAGTAATGAATGTCACAGTTCATCAAAAATACCTTTTTAATGTGCTAATAAGAGTACAGCTTGTATTGAGAAAAAAACTAATGAATGCTTTTTTTTTTTTTACCTTTTAGGAAAGCATCAGAGTAATTCAGCCCATATTTTTGGGGAAAATTATTGATTATTTTGAAAATTATGATCTCACTGATTCTGGGGCTTTGTACAGAGCATACGGCAACGCCACAGTGCTGACCATCTGCACACTGTTTCTGGCCATACTGCACCATTTATTCTTTTATCACGTTCAGTGTGCTGGGATGAGGTTGCGGGTAGCCATGTGCCACATGATTTACCGGAAGGTAAGTGACACTCAGCATGAGAATGTGTATTTCATCAGAAGCATTCTGGGAAAGTTTTATGTAAATTAACTCATGTAACTAGAACCTTTTTTATTAGTACACGCTCGCAGTGCGTAATGTTTCCATTCCTTGTGTTCAGTTGGTTCATGTACACGACACATCTTCATTCCTTTTTCCATCCCCTCTCCTTCACTGTCTCTTCCCCCTTCTATCTGTTGATCCCCTTTCCCATAGAGAAAGATCTGTCTTCCTACTTCCTGTTATTTACCTTTTACTTTGGTCTTTATTTATAATTTGGACTCCTCATATAAGAGACACCATGCAGTATTGAAGCTTGTGTGTTGATTTCAGTTAACAATGTAGTCTTAAGGTTCATCCTACAAGTGACTCAAGTTTATCCTTCTTTATGGCAGAATAGTGCTCCCTTGTGTGCAAATAGCACATTTTCTTTATCCATTCATCGGTTGATGGATATATAGGCCACTTCCAAGATTTAGCTGTTAGGAATTATGCTGCTATAAACATGAGTATGTATGTATCACTGTAAATAGAATCATTTAAGCCATACTGGAGAAGTATTTGCATCAGACTTTTTTCTTTGTGTAAACTTTCCTACTATATAGTGAAAGTTTTCTGTTTCTATCCCATCAAGGCTACTTGCCACACCAGGCTATTGTAAAATACTGTATAATGAAATTAGTTAAAAAATAAATGCCAGATTGATTTTATAGTGTTTTCATAGCGAAATCACATATTTATGGAAAAGCTTTTTTATTAAAACCTTCATTGATTAAAAAAACAAAATATTCATAGAACCTTCACTGGCATGTAAAAGAGAACTTTAGTGAAATCTGACTCAGAAAATTAAATCCAGGAGAAAAAATGTACTTGAAGAGGGGAATTATGTTTTTAAGTAAACTTTAATTATGTTTGATATAATTTTGTCAATTAAAGAAAAATATAATTGGAATCTTTGTCAAAACACAGCCTGTTGTTAAAGAGCTAAAGCTAGTTATTGTTTTTAATGGTATTTAAGGAAGTAGTTGAATGTTTGAGATGCCACTTTTAATTTTAGATTATTTTAGTAATTTTGAGAGAATTTATAATTTTTCCTGTTGTCATTTGGATTAAGTTTTTATATCTTATTTCCTTTCCTTTTACTGTAGCTATAATGCTTAGGCCTGATTTGTTGTATTCAGTGCTTTTTGGTTGATAAATGCCATAAAATGTCCCATAGTTTGCCCTGGTCTTAACTGTTATGTAGGGACCAGGGTTTCAGGTATCCTTGAAAAGGAGTTGCTGCAGAACTAATGTGTGTCAGGAGATAAAGAACTCTTTGTAAACTCCATCCTGGATCACTCTTTTCTCTGTTTATATGTATTTCTATTTAAAAAATTTTTTTAAAGTCCTCATTAATGATAAAGCTCAAGATCAAACAATCTATAGTATTGCTTGTTTTACCTCCCTTGACTTATCTAGAGCTCTGTTTATTGTGGATCATTTTCTTGGCTGATACAAGCAGTTTTCTTCATATCCTCCTTTGAGCAGTCTTTATTAGTCTTCTTGGGGTCGTGTGGCATCTTATGACCTCTGGTAGCTGTGGCAAAATACATCCAGTTTCCTCGTCTGTCACATGGAAATGGTGACGGTGTCTGTATGCTGTAGTCAAGGGGCCTTTGATTTGTCACTGTTAGTCTGTTGGACTCTCTTCTGCCTTTTAGAAGGGCACTTAGGTTTCTCTCTATGCATTGAGCAGATTTTTGTCTTTCTAGATCAGTGATGGTGAACATTTTATTAAAGATTGAGTGCCCAGACTTCGACCCAAAACCCACTTGTTTATCACAAATTAAACCACACTACAATTAAACCTGAATACTGAGGTTTTAGTTTAGAAAAAACAACTCATACAATAACATCTTTTGTCTTAAAAGAAAAACGCAGTAACACACATGCTATAGGTTCGCCACCTCAGTTCTAGATCATGCTCAATCCCAGCAAGTAGGAAATTTTGTTAGCCCTCCACCCTCTCCTCCAGCCCATCTGTCACTCGAGTCAGGTGTAAGGGGTTGGCTCAGTCAAACAAAGCCTTGTACCGGTGAGTAGTTGGTCACCCGCTTTTCTTCCTCTTTCCACTGACGCTGGAAAGTAGCCTTGGGGAAACCCGATCTAGCTTGGCAGATTTGCTTACCAGAATGTAAACTTCTCCCCAAGGTATTAATTTGCCAGTTTGATTATCCTAGACGATTTGGCTCTTTACAAAGTCAAAATTGCTTGGGTTAAAGCATAGACTTAACCTGAAATTTCAGTAATGTGGGAAAGATGAATTCCTCTTGTCTGCCTTGCATCTGGAAACCTGCCAAGGTAAAGAAATAGGACCCAAGGGTGGTGCTTCCTTGGAGCACAGTTGGTGCTGTGGTGCTGCAGTCTGCGCTCCAGCCTCACCGTCCGATCCCTGGTCCCGGGAGAAGTCAGCTTGGGTGTTATCATCGGAATGACTGCTGTCATCATCGTTTATGGTATTGGATGATCCTATGGGACGTGTCATATATAAATGTGGCTTGTTCTTTATTGACCTTTTTACAGCTTTGATAAAAATTAGTTTTGACTTTTGATCATTGTTTTTGTATTATGGTAAAATTTATCATTTTATGTTTTTAATCATACAGTTCAGTGACATTGAATACATTCACATTGCTGTGCAACCATCTCCAGCATCCCCCTCCAGAATTCTTCCATCATCCCAAGCTGTAACTCTGTACTCATTAGACCATGATTCCATGTTCTCCTCTTCAAACATCCTTCACCATTCTACTTCCTGTCGATGATTTTGACTGCTGTAGATTCCTCTTATCAGTGGAGTCATACAGCCTTTGTCCTTTTGTGTGTGGATTATTTCATGTAGCATGGAGTCTTCAGGGTTTATCATATTGTAGCATGTATCATAATTTTGAGAGAAATAAAATGAGCCGAAACAGGAACACCCAAAGCAAGGCTTTTATTAAGGGACAGAGCTGCTGGGCTGTCTCAAACAGTGGCGAGAGCAGCAACCAGGGGTTGGCTGGGTGAGGTTTATAAGGGCTGAGGGAGTGTGGTGGTGGCAGATGATTGGCTGTGAGTGGGGGCGAGGTGGGAAAAAGCAAGTCTTTGTTCTCTCTGGAGTGACTGGTTTCCTGTAGGCAGGGGCCATTTTAGCATGCAGGGTTGTCGGAGCCACTTTATGTAGCAGAGAACTCTGTCACATTTAATTTCTTTTAAAACTAAATAATATGTGATGTGTAGATATGCTGCATTTTGTTTTCCTTTCATCTGTTGATGGACATTTAGGAGGTTGTTTCTGTCTTTGGACTATTGTGAACAATGCTGCTGTGAATGTGAGTGTATAGGTATCTGTTTGGGTCCCTACATTCATTTCTTTTGGATATATGCCCAGAAGTAGAATTGCTGGATCACGTGGTAGTTCTAGCTTTAATTATTTTTGTGTATGTGGAACTGCTGTACCATTTTCCACGACAGGTGTACCATTTTATATTCCCACTTGATCACTGATTTTTCTGTTTAATTTGAAGACTGAATGAAGAGAAATGTTGGTGAGCTATGACAGTCTTTTATTTGGATTGGTGGTGTCAGTGGTGGTCTGTTAAAATGGCAGAGGTCTTCGAAGGGGTAAAAGTTGCAATTAGGTAGTCATAGTTCCGAGAGGGCCCACAAAGGCAATCAGTGCTGGGACCTGGGCAGTTCCTTAAGCATTGCTTTTTTTTTTTCTTACTGTTGTTCTTCCACGCATTTTGGGGGAAATATCCCAAATCCCATCATCCTAAAATGACAGGTATTCTATTTACAGAATCTTTTCCGATCTTTGTCCACTCGCATACATTTTATGCAGTTACAATCTTTTTATGCATACAGTTTACGTTTTGTCATATATTGACCTTACTCTCAGCACCCTGCTGGTGTCGCTGATGGTCCTTCAAATGGACTGTGTGTGTCTGTGTTGGTAGGTGCTGGGTGGAAGGTGTTTGTTGTCCTGGCCTTTGACTTACACGGTACAGATGCATCCTTGGCCTACTTTGAGCTGCTTATACCAAACGTTATCTTCAGATGGGTTTTTTATTGTCATTCTTGACAATTTTTTTTTTTTGGTACTGGAAATCGAACTCGGGTCCCTGTGCTTGCGAGGCAGGCATCAGAACCACTGAGCTAAATCCCCAGCCCCATTTGTTGCTATTCTTTACGTGGGTTGTTGAGGATGGCAGCGCCTCCTATCACTCCATGGACAGTGACAGCGGGAGTGGCGCCCCCTGGAGGCAGACTGCAGCACCCAGCTGGTGGGTATTTACTACCAATAGTCTCAAAGCAAATCAGTTCTAACTGCTTGCTTTGCAAAAATTCCCCACAAAATTAAAACAAAAATTCTTGCACACACCAAAAGTTAGTGTACCCGATGAAGCATTCATAAGTCTTGGATATGTGAAATGCCGTTTAATAGTGAGAGTTCCCTGTTTTCATAGAACTAAGATGCTGTTTCTTTTGACTGCTTTGTAGTCAGGAGTGTGGTTTATCCTCTTAAAAGGCACATACTTTAAGTGTTTGAGTTTTGGCATGTGCACGTACAGTTCTTGGGTACTGCTCTGCCACGAGGTAGTGCTCGCTGGTATTGCTCAGAATGTCCCTTTCTGCCTGTTTCCATCCTACTTCCCCACCCTTGCTCCAGACCACACCTGATGAGAGCTCTGTCATCACAGATTCATTTTGGCACTTCCAAAAACTCATAAATGGAATCAGTACGCAGCTTTGGACTAGCTTCTTCCCCTCACGTAGTATTTTTGAGATTATCCTATGCTGTCACATGTGTCAATAGTTATTTTTTAATTGCTGATTGTGGAATTTTTTCATATGCCAACACGTCAGTTTGTATATTTAGTCAGTGTTGGAGTTTTGGCTCCTTTATAGGTCTTGGTGGTTAGAAGCGAAACTGCTAAGAGTAGTCATGTACATATCTT